GTGACTGGGCGGCCGAGACCCCCAGTCATATGCACCCCCCTCGGACGAACCCACAGGCCACCCCGCCGGAGCAGGGCCGTCGCAGCCGACCCACCGCAGTGGGCCTGCATACGCTCGCTGGTCATCCAGGGGAGACTCCAAGGATCCGAGACATCCAGCCTGTCGCCCGGACAACACTTGCTAGAAGAATATTCTGAAAAAATCAGGAAGAAGCAGGTAAGAATACCGAGAAAAAATTCTTAGCTCCTTACTCCTGATGCTAGGCAAAAAACTGGAGACTTGTCAGCAGATGGGGGGTTTGGCCACCGGCAGGGGCCGCCCCTAGGCTGTAATTGGTCTTTAGTTTTTTTGTGCCTAGCGTCCTTCTCCTTAGGTGCTGCAGGTGGCGATATTACCCTACAGTACATGATCTCCGATCTGTTCCCTGTGTCCTTCAATGAACGGGAGAGAAAAGAAGAGCAGTGCACCACAATACACAGATGGTTTGCTAAAACACGCATGCATTGTATTGTGCTGGTAAGGTGCATTGGGGTGGACGGCAGTCAGTTTTGTGCACTACTGCAATCCAGCCTTAGGTTGGAGTATTTTTGTAGTGCTTAAAACAAGGGAACATTATAAGTGGATTTACACTGTGTTCCCCCATGCAAACACAAATGCTTTGATATACAACATTTCAGGGATTGGGAAGCATGTCACATATTTTGCAAGGGGGGCCATTCACACTACTGCACTACATTAACAAGTGCATTACCGCAACAAGCAATGCATTTTGCTTGCATTGATGTGGTGGTGCCATAATGAATGGCACCCCAACGCACCTCCAAAACCCACGTGCTCTGCAACTCAGCACAACACATAGCGTCCTGTGAGCTGAGGTGCAATAAAATGCAGCCTGATTCTTTTTGGTGTGTAGCTATGTGCTTAAAAACGTACTTAATGATTGCCGAGACATTTGTTATTTTATTGAAGAAATCAAACTCGCGCTGGTAGAAATCTTTGGCAGGGCCAGACAGGGACCCAGTAATCTCCTCTACAAGCTGTTCCAGCAGATCTCCAATGTCAGCTGCAGAAAGACAATGGAGCACATGAAAAGAATTAGTATGCAAAGCGAGCTAAAAAGACTGAAACTGCAATATTTGTTGTGTCAAATGTTTTATAACATATTTATAAACATATATATCAGGATGAGTTCACACATAATGGCTATAGGCCCCACAATTAGGAAGCACCGCTTTAAATATAGGGACTAAAAAGTAAGCAGCTCCTCTTTCCTATAACATTGTCCAGCGATCATTAGCCATCTGCATGTGCTGTAACAATCAGCAATGTCATTTACTACATTTAAAGGATAGGTACATTTCAAAATAACCTCTGTAGCCCACCCACTTTCATGCACCGCATCAAAAACTTAAAGTGAATCCCGGCTTCACAGGCAATTAGGAAGCCGGGCGACAGGTCATGATCTGCCGCCCGACTTCCTGATAATCGGGGCACACTGCGCCGGTATCAGTACTCGGCATCAGCGAGTACTGGAAAAAAAAATATCGGTACTCGTTACCGAACAACCAGTATCGGTGCATCCCTACCCTTAAGCAATGTCACCAGGACAGAAAGTCCATTTAGAGTTGTCACTAGAATAAAAATAGCGAGGGAATCTTCTATAGGGGAGACTGGTTCCAGTGACAACTGTAAAAAGGGACTTCTTTTATTTTGCTGAGATTTCCTTTTACTTAGTGTTGTGTATACGAGACAAGTAAATGTAATTCTTCTCAATGAACCAATAAAGGAGTTTTAACACTTCCCTACTCGATCCAAAACTTAGACCTCAGATGCAGATGCATTGTAATATCACTGGCACAGGCTAACAAGTTCTGGGCAATGTCTGCAACCTGCGACTCTGTGCGTCACCATGGTCATCTTGTGTATGTGCTGGCCTTTAGGCTTAATTCACTAAGCTATAATGATCAATATGTGCCATAGCCATGATTATTTTCTTTAAGTGGAGTTAAAATGTCAGTCACATGGCTGAAAATAATGAACCTTGTCTTAACAGATGTGCTTAAGCTCTGAAATTTAAGCCTATATAATATCCTTGTGAATACCTGTCACATATGGTTCTTTAATTCCAAAAGCAAAAGTTCCCATATGTGCCTAGTTTTCAAATAACTGCCAAACACCCTGAAGCAGCCTCGATAATTTAAATGTGATTTAATAGACACTATTATTATAGCACATAGAGATTTTATAGATTTTCCAACATGCTGGAAGATCTATGAAAGCCTGGCTGCACATTATTCCATTTTCTAAGAAGAACACATATCACATTTTGGAAAAGATCTACTTTTCTATGGCCATCCAAAATATAGAAGATTAAAAGAGAACTATAGCCAAACCTTTTTTTTGGCTTTACATCTCTTTTGGGTCGCAGGAATACATTCACTAATGTACTTCTGTGACCCAAAGTCAGCAGATAGCACACTACTGTTCGCTATATGCCGAGAGCACAGCCACGGTGCAGCCGAAAAGCCAACAATATTATCGTGATCCACCTCACTGCCTGGTTGACAGCTGGCTCTGCCTCTCTAGAGCCAGAGCCAGCTGTGCCCGCCCCCTCCCCATCTGTCCCTCCAATAAGTGCAGGAGGAACAGAGGTGGGGGGACTGAGCTGAGAAATCAGCGGTTTGTGATTTCTCAGCTCTCCGTAGTGTCCCACGCCAGCTTTAAGTATTGGGGATAGTATATTCCCAATACTTAGAGCTTCCAATACTTCTCCTTTAAGATACATGGTGCATTTTGCACAATATAGTACGTAATACTCTATTGTATGGAGCATATTTTCTTGAGATCATTTCGTACAAAAAAACAAAGTTATAATTTACTCACGATCCTTCTGATGTGCTTCTTCATCTAAAAAAATGTTGGTCTTCATGTTCCATATAAACTGATGAGCAAGAAGCTGGGACTTTGCAGCTGCCCATAGTATGTATTCCCGGACATAACCCATCTGAAAGTACACCAAACTTTGTGTTATTAAAATCCACAAACCAAAGCAGCATATTGCAATAGCACTCCTAAAAGAGGATTCTCGGGTGTTCATGTAAAAGGCCACCAGCGGTGCTTGAAGGAAACTTGTCATAAGAAATACATGTAGGCTGCCACTGAGGTCTCCTAATGAAAAAGCTTGCTACCTGGCTGGTTATGGTTTCAATAGTTTGGTGTCAACAAAGCAGTAGAAGTAAACAGTCAGTTAAGTTAGAACTCCAACTACAAAAGTAGTATTAAAGTCAAACTTTTTTTCAATAATAATTCCAGATCAAACAAATCTACATTGCCTAGCAAAGCATTGCTTTACTTTTTTGCCCGAACACTTACAATCATCATGTTTCTGAATAGCTGTTTCCAGGTCTCTCAGCTTAGCTTCCCTGAACTTCTTGTACAGTACAAGATCACAAAGGACAGTGCAGACTCCAGCAAATGTTCATCTACTAGTTGGGAGAAGGGGCCAGGGGGGAGGGAAGTAGCTTGATTTCCTGTGTCTGTGTGTTTGTGGAGACACACACAGGTTACCAGCACACAAGGGTGACAGCATAGCACTCTGCTTGAGAAAGGAGTCACTCTAAAACAGGAAGTCAAGACCAGTGCTCAGGGGACCAACTAATTCTGCAGGAAACAAAACTTTTAAACATCAAGAAGCAGCATCCATTGTAAGTAATTTCAACAGCATCTGAAATAGCTAAAAATCCTTTTGACTTTAATATCACTTTAAAGGGAGTGGATCTGCATGACAGTCAGGTAACTAGCATGATCTGGCGGTAGTCAGCAATGGCAGCCTACATATTTCTTTCATGAGACGTTTTCTTTTAACAAGCCTAAGTAGAACTCTCAAAACGTAACACCCACCTTCATCCAGCCAAATAAATGAATAACAAATGTGATTATATTTCCTGTAAGTACAAGGTATTATAACTGCAACAACAGGTCATGGGACTACTATAAGCTCAAGAGCTTGGGAGGCTCAAGGCTCAGATAAAAGCATGCAGATTTATACATTTGGTATGTTAAATGTTGGACAGTATAAATCCACTTAGCACAGAACCACCTTCTGATAACACTGCTGAAAGGGAAAACATTCTTCGCTATGTTCCTAAGGCATTTCACAATACAGAGAAGTAGCTTTAACAAACATTTAAAGTTACATGTACTTCCTGATTCTAGGACAAAAGTTTTCCACATATTATCTTGGGGTTTAAACTCAAAAGGTACATTCTTCAGATTCCAGCACAGTTTGATGTGAACTGCATTAATGAGAATGCGGTTTCAAGATATGACTGTTGTGTTTGTGATGGATCATTTGTAGCACAATAATACATTAGAAGCAGCAGTCTGTACACTGTGATACTCAGAAACTGATGAGTGTCAAGTAATGGCGGCCGAGACTTTCACTGCAGAAAATTGGACTCACCTTGTCATACCGCAGAGCCTGAACAATTTGTGGAATGTAAAATAGGATGGCATCCTGTAAGACAATGTAAAAAAAAAAATGAGGAGGACGTCACAGTAAATGTTCCACATTAGTAAAGGAGAATTATGAGGTGAGTGCTTTTCACTCAGCCTCATAATCTGAGCCGACCTGTGACAATGAGACTGTCACAGGTCGGCTGAGTAGATCGGGAAGTGAGCGAACACATACCGGCGTTCGCTCACTCCACGATCCTGTCACCGCTGAGAGCTGTGACAGGGGAGGGACTGGATTCTCCCCTCCCCTGTCCGATTCTCCAGCGCTGACTGGCAGGACGGACGGGGGAGGGGCGGGTACAGCTGGCTCTGCCTCTAGATAGGCAGAGCCAGCTGTCACTCACGCAGCTGGGAGGATCCCGGCATAATTGTCGGGATCCGTTTCAGCTGCGGCGTCTCAGTATACTGCGAGCTGCAGCTCGCGGTATACTGAGCTTTGGGTAACGGGAGGACGCTAGTTTGTGTCCTCCCGTTACCCTTCGGAGAACTACGGGGAAAAGGCCTAACCACATAATTCTCCTTTAAGAATGGGAATCGGTGAGGGGAACAAGGATAACTAAGGCAAGATCATAAAACAAACAAACATTGAGGTAAACCTGCCAAAATGTGCACAATTAAAAGAGAACTTATGATGAAAAAAGCATAGGAAGAATGATCAGTAGATCCAGACATATAGAGAGATATGATGTATGCAAATTGTAAATCCACTAACATATTAAATGGTTATGTACCGAGCGTGGTGATAACAGCAAAAGGAGTTTCCCTTCTGTTGAGCTGAGAGGGTACACCATATAGCTCTATGAATAAGTTGTACCCTTTTGTAAACTACATTTCACATGAGATGAACCCTCATCTCTCACAGACCCAAGGGATAGCTCATGGGCTTTCCTAACCAGTCAGGTGAGATTATGGCCAGCAGTATGGCTGCTGAGAGGGAATCATCGCTGAGGCCTTCAGCACACTAAGTCTCTTTGCATTGTGACAGTGCCATAGTGTAATACAGCATATACAGCTAGCAAGGTGTCACAGCACTCAATGTCCAAGTTGGTTTTTACAAAGTTTTATATTTAAAGCAGAGGCAAAGTATCTTTATATAGGAAGCATCTGATCTGACAGGCCGACGGCTTCGCTTGGCAGTCTTTATTTACATGCAAACTCCTGCCAGCAACGCCCACAAATGACGTGGCCGAAATAATGACTCGTCCTGCAGTCCATAGGTCATGGACACCAGATGTGACTTGGCACTGTAGGGCTGCACTGAAAGTTCAGGAGGAGACTTTGAAATGCACAGCTTTTTTTTAAACAAAGGAACAGTAGGAAATAAGCTGTAGGTGAAGAGGAAGTACAGCATTTAAAGTATCTAAACCAACAAAAAAACTAAATGTAATAAATTGCAGCTGCTTCCCAGTCCTTAGATAAAGTGGTGCATTAGTTTTCTTTTTCAGGTAAGGTATTTTGCTAGGGATGCACCGATACCGGTATTTCGGTATCGAGTGCCTATATTTTTTATCCTGGATATGATCCCCATAGTTTGTAGGCTAGAGGGTAACAGTGCAGGAAGTGCAGGGAAATTTTTCTGATGAGGACAGAGCCCACAATAAAATCCTGGCAGAGGTTCCAACCCATCCACAGGCTTTCCAAAACTGAAGCTAATAAGATTGGTTGAAGTTTCACTTTAAGTGTATTATGGCATTGTAAAAGACTGGGGACAAAGAAAAAACATTAGAAAAGTAAATATACAGTCACATAACATACTATAAAGGGAAAGAGTGTACTAGTTCAATACCGGCGGGAATGATCGCAGAACTTTGACTCCATACTGAGCAGTTAGCGGATGTGGAGGATACATGCTGGAGAAGTAAGATAGCCCGGTAGGTGGATCAGTTGGTGCCCAGCACAGGATATGGCTGAGCTCAGGGGCATCGGCATCGATCGTATGCCATGTTACCAAATACTGCAAGAGAAAATGAATAATCATCTGCTCTAAAGTGATTATATTACATCCATTAATAAGAATGTTTATAACGGTTTAATATATTAAAATGTTACTCAGAAATAAACAACAGAACACTTACTTTAATAGCCTCTGGGATGTCATTGACGGCACTTGGATCCAGTCTGACAAGGCGAGTCACTTCTCCTCCAATTGCTTCAGTGTTTTTAAATCTGCAAATGAGTATTCAGAGCGGTAAATATTACTTGTAGGTAATAAACTATTACATTTCTATGAAATCTTCACCGTTTAATAATTTATGGAATACTCAGAAGGGGGTCATTGTAGGGACAACCTGGGCAGCAAACCTGGGTCTACGGCTAGTATATCCAAAGCCAAAAACATATATATTTCCTACAGTAGGGAATGGGTAAGGCCCTTGTCAGTTCTGATTCATGCTGGGGAGATTTCCCTTAATGTCCTGTGTTGTAGACAAAACAGGAAGTGAGAGAATGGCTGCACAGAATTACCGTATTTGCCAGCGTATAAGGCGACTGGGTGTATAAGACAGTAGAAAGGTATCATGGCACACTCACAAGTCAGCATGTAAAAAAACTTGTCTCACCACTAAGGTCAATAACAGAGGTTTGGATACACGTCTTCTGCAGAAAATGTGAAAGCCGCACAGCCGCGCCAAGGCACCTCTTATAGTGCGGTCCTAACTCTAAACTATGAGAGTCTCAGCTGACAGGGCAGAGCTGTGTGCAGTAAAGAATACCAACAATATTTTTGGTATCCACCCTGGCTGTCTAATTGACAACTGCCTCTGACTCTCTGCACACAGCTGAGAGCCAAAACCAGCTGTGCCTGTCACGTCCCCTTATTGCACCTCCAGTGCTGGCTGGAGCTACAGGCCAGAGAATCCCTGTGCGGACAGTGACTGACAGCCACTGCCATCCACTGGGGTTTTTATTTTTTACTATAGTAAGGAAAGAAAGAAAAAAAAAAACACCTATGACAACTGTTCCCCCTATATTAACCTTATAAAACATTTATTATTACCCAATTTTTGGGTAAAATATAAAAGGCGGGGTCACGTAGGGTAAATAGACACCAAACATGTCAAGCCTTAAAATTGCGCGCGCCCACGAAAGTTTAAAAAACAACAATACCCAAAATTGGCCATAGGCGACGCTTTAAAAGCTTTTACCGCTCATCAGTTTAGTGTTATCAGTGATTGATGGCCCTAGACTTATTGCTCTCACTCCGACGTTCGCGGCGATATGCAACATGAGGGGGTGGGGGACTTAAAACTTTTTTTTTTAGGGGGGGTTCTCTTTTTTTTTTATATATTACTTTATTTTTTACACTTAAAGGAGAACTATGAGGCAAGTGAAAATCACTCAGCCTCATAGTTCTAGCTGACCTGTGTCAATGAGACTGTCACACGTCGGCTCAATAGATCGGGGAGTGAGCAAACACATACCATCGCTCGGTCACTTCTCAATCCTGTCCCTGCAGAAAGTCGTGACTGTCACTCACGGCTCCCTGCAGGGATTTCCCCCCTCCCCTGTCCGATCCTCCAGCGCTGACTGGCGGAACGGACGGGGAGGGGGCGGGTACAGCTGACGCAGTAATGTCGGGATCCGTCCCGGCTGTGGCGTCTCAGTATACCGCGAGCTAGTGAGCTTTGGGTGACGGGAGGACCCTAGTTTGTGTCCTCCCGTTACCCTTAGGAGAACTATGTTATTGCAGAACTCCCTCCCATCTTCCTCCTGACACCCTCCCGAGACGGTCCCGGGCCGCAGATGGGGCAGCGGAGCAAAAAAAAAAGCTATTTACGGCAACCCGCCAATGGGTGTTTGCCGTCCGTCCATTTTTTCACAACTGGCGGACGGCAAGCAGTTAAACTAGGTACATCTATATGGTCACTAAGTTACATTCACCTTGCTGGTAACTGGACTGCCAGGTGAGGGGAAATGCTCCAGGCTAAGTTCACATTGTCTTTCCATTGCTTCTCACTCAGGCTGATGTACTTTGATCTCCAGTTTGCCACACTGTTTTCTCCTGTTTGATCCAGCTCTAATTCAGGAGAAGAGAGAGGGTTGTACCAGGTGGTTAGACGGTCAATCTCAGTAGCCTAGAAAAGAACAAACAAGTAATAGTTAGGAATGGCTATGACAACATTTCCAGTAAATGTTTGGCCACATAAGAGATTTTGTTAGTAGGAAAACAAGAAATAACTGCAGATTGCTCAATGCTGCAAGGGTATGTGATTAGTGTACAGCCCTGTGACCCTTGTAGCAAGTAATGTTTGCTTTGTTACAAACTCAACAATTACTCTCAAGGCAAAAGCAGTAATTCCAAAAACAAATCATTAGAGCCGGAAAGAAGAACATGTGGTGGACCCATGCTGAGATAATGATCACATTTTAAGATGCACAAACATGAAGCTGAAAGCACACAAACATACACATAAGGACAAAATACATAAAGGTTAGGAATGAGTCACATACCAACAGAGATAAGAGCAGAGTCCTCCTTTTCATGTAATATTTGTGGAGTTGTGTCCCTCGGTTTGTTTTCTTTGTCAGCCCTGTGAATAGTAGAGTCTAATCTTAAAACCTCAGGTATAAAAGCACTTCCTTTCAGAAGATTGATTCTGTTTGTAAAGCAAAGGGCAGTGTCTATACACTGAGTGGCCAGATTATTATGACCACCCCATCAGTACTTCGTAGGGCCACGAGATGACTCCACAAGATGACTTTGTTGGGCCGCCTCGTGACTCCACGAGATGTTGAAAGGTGATGCGAGGAATCTGACACTGCACTGTTGCCCTTCTGTTGCCTTGTACCAGTCTTGCCACTCTCCGTTCTGCCCTAACATTGACTAGTTGCTGACGGCCACAATTCGCACGTTCAGACCCAGATTTTCGACTGACAGTCCAGTCTTTAAACACTTTAACAACAGCTGCTCTTGAACATTTAACGAATTCTGCTGTTTTGCTGATACTCGCTCCATGGCTCCGAGCGCCAACAATCATCCCACGTTCAAAGGATGTTAAATCGCGTTGTTTACCCGTATCTTCAGAAAAAAAATCACTTCTACTGTCGTGGTAAACAACCCCTATTTATAATGGTCTGGCCCTCTAGCAACTTCAGCGCAAAATTATAGCTAATTTGCCTACAAACGTCAGGTGGTCATAATAAACTGGCCACTCAGTGTATATTATATATACACACACACACAAACAGTATAGTGATACAATACAAAAAGCAATACTGTATGGCTAAAACTGGCCATACACTGTACAAATTTCAGCTGGTTCTTGAGGAAGCGCCCTTTTGGCTGGCACCCCTCGATCAGCTGATCGAAGGAGCAGGTCGGAAAAAATGTTTGAGCGAACACAGCCGGCAGGCAATGAGCTGCTGTTTCTGTTCGGGTATTCTGACAGCAGCTGGCAAAGCAGACAGCGCGAGATCTCCCTATTAACGCTCTTGTTTACCCATATCTTCAGAAAAAAAATCACTTCTACTGTCGTGGTAAACAACCTGCTTTCCTATTTATAATGGTCTGGCCCTCTAGCAACTTCAGCGCGAAATTATAGCTAATTATAGCTAATTTGCCTACAAACGTCAGGTGGTCATAATAATCTGGCCACTCAGTGTATATTTATATTAAGGCTCCCATGAGAAAACTTCACACACCTGACTTTTTAGAGATGGTAGACATGCCGCTGGATAATGGGTATGTGTTAATCCAGCCTTGTGTGGTCTGCTGTCGAGATCCTACCGTCACATCCAGATTGCTGCGAGTGACATCCGCCATCACAGACAAGCTATGTACAGAAGGATCCAGATTATCTATAGAAGACAAGCATATTGCATGTATTAACCAGATACAGTTAAGAGAATACAACATTTCCCACACATTTACATACAGAACAAGCCATTTAGTAGATGTGACAAGGATAGGGGTTAGGAAGCTATAACACTGCCAGCGTGGTGCTTTAAGTGGTTACCTTTTAATCCCTTAGTTTAAATCTTACAAAATGTTGTTTCAAGAGCTTAATCATCCCTCATAGTGTTATAGTTTGCCCTAACTTTCCAATTGAATTACATGCTAGGAAAACATACAACACACTTGTCCAGACTCTGCTACAGTACCAGTGCACTTCTCCACAGACTTCCACAGCGCATTTCGGTACAGAGCCCTGCTGCAAAGGTGCATTTTTCTACTGACCGATTTTGCCACCGTGCACTTCTTTGCTAATTGCCACTGAAACTGTTCACTCCCTCACTTCCTGCCACCACCATGTAATGCACTTCAACTGACCGCCACATATGCACTGGCACACTTTTCCATTGACCGCTGCCTATGTAAGTCAGGCACTTCTCCAACAGCACTTATCACAAACTTCTGAACTATGTACACTGTGCTGTACATTATATTCCTAAGACTACTGTAGTTTGTACGCTGTATTGCACATGCATACCAATATAAATTCTTTCAGGAATTCGCCATTTCATCCTATTCAACAAACAGGCACACTTTTGCATGCCCCTTTGGTTTAAATGTCAGCAATTGTGGCAAATGTGTTTTAACTACTACATTTGGATCAAGTGTAAAATACACGTCGAACAAAAAGTAGCTTCAACATTAAGCAAAGTTATTACCTGGAGGAACCAACTGGTTTGCAGTAAGGTACTTCTTATCGGAGAACATGGCCGTCCAAAACTTGATCAAGATGCTAATATCTTCTCTCAGCTGCTTCTCTGTTTGTGTTGGGCATTTAGGCGCACAGCTATCCCAGGACAGAGCACACAATACTACTTTAAATATGTTTGCTTAAACTGAGCTGTCTTCATAATAAGTATGGTCACAATAAGAAAAATACAAACATATAAAATGCACACGCAGATGTACCTGAAGTAATCAAACGCTGTGGAATAAATTTTTTCTCTAAGAACATTACGGATGGTGGCATTTGGGACCACATCTGCGTGCAGCATTGATAACCCCAGAGTCAGCAGCCTGGAGTGAAGAGAGATAGCCATTCAGGAAAATTGCAAGGTCTAAAAAGATATTTGCCAACCTGCATGATTGAAAGCCACTTTCAGTCAAGGTGTTCTCTTGATATAAATAAAACTAAGAGCACTCACTTGAATCTAGGCCCGATGGCTGCCACGTGTCTGTTAATGCTGCCTTTTGATCCTCCAATATTCAGAGAGAGGGAGCGTTGTAGAAGGCTAGAGAATATCTCAATCTGGTCTGAGCTGCAGTACTTAGCGATTTCAAACCTCTGCATCAGGAACTACAAACAAGGGAAAAACTTCACTGTGATATTTACAGGCATCCACTGAATCCTTAAAGTGAATCTCCACTCAAGGCTTCCATTTTAATTATGGCTAGAGTGGGGAAAGATTAGAAGCCCTGCTATTACTTTCTGGGGCTCAGTTAGAGAGATTTCCCTGCATTTACTGTCACAGCGGCAAATCTGCAACAGAGACTCAAACACCAATCAAAGCCTGACATGGGTGTGAGCCTATTACTACTCCGCAAATAAAAATTATTTGTATTTTTGTCTGTGTTGCTTTTGGAGATTTTCCCTCACTTCCTCTATGTCGAAAAATATTGTCAGTGACAGGAAGTGAGGGGGAAAGCTCTCTAAGGGAGCCCCAGATAGCAATAAAACCCAACAGGGGCCCTAATCAGTGTGCATCCAAAAGTAAAAAATACAAGTCATTGCTGGACATACACTTTAATCTATGAGTACACTCTATATGTATGAAAAAAAATAGAAATTCATCTGACTAAATCATTATGTCAAAGCTACTCCTGAGCCACGGCACAGTCTTAAATCAGGTAAGAATTAACATGCAGCAAGCAAAGCTCTCTATGTATTTACTTGCTTTAGGAGTTCTCTTAACACATAAAACCACCTAAAGCTCACCACACCCTACAATCTGAATGTATCAGCTCCTTTAGATCTAACAAGGGCCTGACTGGTTTGATAGAAATGAATTGGATAGTTTAGTTAGGTCCACGTTATATAGTTTTGGTAAATCTAAAGGTGATCATACAGCATTTGCACAGTCAGATTGAAACACATATGGGGAGCATTAAGATGGCCAAATACTGCTCGACATTAGAACATTCGGTGACCCTGTTTTAACACCCACCCCCCTCCTTTCCCCCACCTGACAAAACTAGAATTTTTCAAACCACTTTTGTTGAAGGAGCCGGTCTGAAAATTCTCGGCTGAACATCCGATTGGATACGAATACAAAAGCCGGCAGCAGGGATTCCTCTATGTAAGTGAATGGGAAAACCGATGGATTTCTCTTATTCAGCCAGCAGGGTGTATTGTGAGGTGGGAGGTTCAAAGAGCAATTGTGCACAGTAACCTCGAATTAGTTAGTTAATATCCAGATTTCCCTTCTGTTTAAAGCAGTGAAAACAGTGAAGGTAATTGTTAACTGGTTGTTATGAATTATAACACTGTTACATTTATGTTGCTTACATCAATCCATATATAGTGCGGATTCACTTCTGGTGAGCACGGATGTGGTTGGCTCTGCTCCGAAGCCGCCAGGGGATCAGCTTCCTTTTGCTCGGGCGAGAACAGCCCAATCTTCTGTTCTACTGTCATTTGCCAAGCTCCAACCATCTCTCGCATGAACTGTCACAATACAGCATGTGTTACAGGATAAAGAGCTATCATACAAGATGCCAATTAGATGGCTTTTAGGATTGTTTTAACCAAATTCTAGACCACCAGCAGAGTAAACATAATACTACATGACACCTTACCGGCACTTCAATCCCATTCTTAGCTGCCACAAGCCATTCCCAGCAGGCAATGGCTGTCTCCATCCCATGGTCAGTAAACATGCGCAGTGGAGCCCAACAGAGATGGTGTAAAAGCTGAGCATCACATTCTGTTCAGAAAAAAAGAAACCATAATATTCACACACTATGTTGTTGTGTTACAAAAACAGATAGAGCTAAACAGATATGTCCTACCGTTGCTGCTTATGAGCAAGGCTGTTAGCTTGAACATGACCTGTGAATATGTCTCTGGTTGCCGCATTTTCAGAGCATCATTCAGGTGCGTCATCATAAGCTTATTCAGGTCAGATGTGTGACCAGTAGCATTAGAAAACGCAATCATGCCAGCAACCTGCCACGAAAAACAAACAAACAAACAAACCAGATTTGGATTTGCTTTACATGATAACAATACATAAATCTGCCTTGAAACCATCAGTCATATGAATTAATATAAAGCGTGCAGTTACTGAGCCACATAATGTTATTATGCACAAGTGATAAGCCTGGGCTTGGTGAGAACCCAGTACACCCAAGTCCAACGAAAACTGTGACTAGCAACCACCCCGAGCACCCCCTAATCTCCTCTGGCCCAATCGGTTGCAGAGAGGCGCATTTCCCGCCCCACAGTTATAGTCCCAACTGCTGTCTGGGGCAGGCAAACTGGGTCCGCACCAAGCCCACACTCATCTCTACTTATCACTAAGAAAACTGCTTCCAGGTAAGTATCTCAATTATCTCCCACTAAAAATACCAAGGTTTACTTTTAATACAGGACCAACTCCAGCCAAAACTGTATTTTTCAGTTTTGGATAGACCCAGGAATAGTAAATACTTATGTCCATGTTTTTATTGCTGCTTGTGACACCATTGGGCAGATTACACCTCACTTATCTCTGTGGCAGAAGTACATGAAATAAGGGGAGTAGTTGTCACCAGGACAGGAAGACACAGACAATAACGATACATCTACTGGAAGGGTAGTCTGTGCTCCCATTGGGGACACAAGCCACAATAAACACCTGACAGAATTTCAATCTCATTCCTATGGTGTCCAAAACAAAAGTACGATTTTTGTACTCACCGTAAAATCCTTTTCTCTCCGTTCATTGAAGGACACAGGGAACAGATCTAGGATCATGTACTGTAGGGTAATATCGCCACCTGCAGGAGAAGGACGCTAGGCACAAAACTAAAGACCAATTACAGCCTAGGGGCGGCCCCTGCTGGTGGCCAAACCCCCCACCTGCTGACAAGTCTCCAGTAAGTAACAAGCAGTTAGGAGTACACACCCACACAGAGGGGCGGGACCTGTGTCCTTCAATGAACGGAGAGAAAAGGATTTTTTACGGTGAGTACAAAAATCCTACTTTCTCTTCCGTTCATTGAAGGACACAGGGAACAGATCTAGGATCATGTACTGTAGGGACGTCACAAAGCAGTACCTGAAGAGGGGCGGGCAGAAAAAAACCAAATAAACCCAACAGAAAACAATCCCCTCAAACGGCCGCCTGCAATATCATGCGCCCCAAACCAGCATCTGCCGATGCCAAAACATCCACCTTATAAAACTTGGCAAAGGTGTGAACAGAAGACCAAGTAGCGGCCTTACAAACTCGAGAAACCGAGGCAACAGGACGGAAAGCCCAAGATGCCTCAACAGCCCTTGTAGAATGGGCCTTAACAGAAAAAGGCTAACGCCCCTTAAAGGCATACGCCTGACAAAACACGTTGCGAATCCAGCGAGAGATGGCGGCCGAGGAAGCGACCCGACACTCCGAGGACCAACCAAAAAGGCAACCCTTTGAGACAAGGGCAGACGCGGAAATTCCCGCAAAGATCCAAAAGGAGATTCCCGGAAAAACTAAAGAACCAGGTTCAGATCCCGGTAAGGCGGTAACGGGGATCGGACAGGAGGAGCAATCTGCGTAACCCCCTGTACGAAGGTGCGAACCAAAGCGTAGGACGCGATGGGCGACTGGAAAGAACTGTCCAGGCCAAAAACCTGGGACTGCACCGCACTTTAGGTCAGCCGTGATCTACCCCACGGTGTAAAAAGGCCAAAATCCTGGCCACCGAGAACAAAAGAGGCGGAAAAACCCACGACTCACCCCAGGCAAAGCCCATCAGGTAGGGTGATAGATCCTTTGAGACCCAGCCCGCGGACTCTCAGCATCGTAGAGATAACCGCATCCGACCGACCTCAGTCCCAAAGGATCACAGCTTGGTAATTCCACTACAGTCCTCCGCCCTACCAACTGAGCCACCGAAGGATCCCTTCAAAACCAGGCCAAGCCAGCGACTGTAAAGACAGACGGCACACCTTTGGCCCTGACGCAGCATCTTAGCCCAGGCCGCAGCATCTCAGTCAGGGTCCTAGAGACCACAGCCGAGGCCAAAAACCGGACGCAGATGGTACGCGAGACAGCCTCTGCCTTCTGATCCGTAGGATCCCAAAGGGAAGAAGATTTCGACACCGGGATAACCGTTGCCTCGTTCAGGCGGGAAAACCAAAGGGCCACATGGGGGTGGGGGGGTTGGGTGGAAGACGACGACCACTCAGCCACAAGGCCCCCCCAAATGGATAACCAACCGAAAAACCTTGCGGAACCGAAAATGACTAAGCGGGACGCTTCTACCCCCGGTAGATGAAGTCATCAAAAAACGGGGACCTAGGGAACCCGCGGGAGCGCAGAAGAACCAGGGTGCTGCTCCAGCGTCTCCCGGACTAAACGATTAGCACGGGTAACCAGTGCTCGGGCTTGAACCATGAGCGCGGCACCCGCTTCGGCCTCACTGCCCCAGCTGTAATTGGTCTTTAGTTTTGTGCCTAGCGTCCTTCTCCTGCAGGTGGCGATATTACCCTACAGTACATGATCCTAGATCTGTTCCCTGTGTCCTTCAATGAACGGAAGAGAAAAAATAAAATCTTTTGCCTGGAGTTGGGCTTGAAGGCGGACCAAAGAAAGGCAAATAACTCCCTGAGACAAGTGCAAGTCAAACAACAACCAGGGCCACCCACAAAATGCTCCTGATGCTAGATGTGGGTCACGCCTTAATGACCAAGGAAACATGTGGGTCCCGAGGTTACACGGGTTGAGAACCACTGCTTTAGATCATTCACTTTCCTGTGTAAAAATGAGTGCCTCTGGCATGTTTGCAGGACTAATATTGTAATTTCAGTCAGGCATGCAGACACAATGGGGGGAATTTATCAAAACTGGAGCAGCCAGAATTTGGAGCAGTTGCCCCTGGCAACCAATCAGCATCTCTCTTCAGTTTGCTCAGTTGAGATTTGAAAATGAGAGATAGAAGCAAATCTGCTCCAGTTTTGATAAATTCCCCCCAATGTGTACAGATAACATGTCCAAATTATTTCTACGGTAACAAGGAAGATTTAGTGCAAGCACCTTGCTGTGTTAGTCTGGAAAATTGATATTTGTGTTTCTGTGGAGCCCCCTTGAATCCTAGACCCAGGCTGCACATGGGGCCTTGCCTTCTGCCCAAATAGAGATAAATGTCTGACACACCCTGCCCGCTGGTGCCAAGTCTACTCTAATGTCATTCAATGGACAAATAGCAGAACTTCAGGGGCTATGAAGCTCCATACAGCAAAATGGCAGGGGGCGTGGTTTTGTTCTGGGGAGGAGGCTTAATTGCAACTTGAGGAAGTTACAGTCTAATATACAATATAGGCTTAGGCCTTGTTCACACCAAATGCAGAGCAGATCCAGTCAGGTTTCTGCACACGCACGCTAGTCTTTTAGATGCGCTTTTGACGCGTTTTTGGCTAAAAAAATTTGATGCGTTTTTGATGTGTTTGCAGATCCAGGTAAAATAGGACCTGCTGCTTTTTTTTCACCTGCTCTGGACCTGCTCTGGAACTGCACGCTGCGATGTGAACTGGAGCAAAAAATACCATTGGAATACATTGGACGCAGTTTTGATCCGGTCTGCAACTGATCTGCTCTGCACCTGCTCCGCGCTTGGTATGAACAAGGCCTTAGGGTGCAAGGGGCTCCCAAGGGATCATTCTGAAAACACAGGTACTTGCAGGCACCAAGATCTGTCTGCATCTCATCCCTCTAGTTACTGGAGGAAGATTTTAGGCCAATTCAGGTTAACATTAAGCCTTATAATGAAATAACAGATGCTAGTCTGTTGTCACTGTTGCACCAGGTACTGCTGCCAGTGGCTATTGCTCTCACTGTTGCACCATGTACTGCTGCCAGTGGCTATTGCTCTCACTGTTGCACCATGTACTGCTGCCATTGCTCTCACTGTTGCACCATGTACTGCTGCCAGTGGCTATTGCTCTCACTGTTGCACCATGTACTGCTGCCAGTGGATATTGCTCTCACTGTTGCACCATGCACTGCTGCCAGTGGATATTGCTCTCACTGTTGCACCATGCACTGCTGCCAGTGGATATTGCCGAAACCCTGACAAACGGTGCTGCCAGTTGGAAACATTTTCTGGTGATCTTCAGTGCATCATTCCCTATATCCCCACTTTCTGAGAAGAAAAAATGGCATCTTAGAGACAGGTCAGTATATGAAATCACCATGCACTTGATATGGTATAGATTCATATACTGAAAACTATGCAGAAGAACCATAGGCACCTACCTCTCCAGCGTAACGGTTGCGCAGGTTAAGAGACGCCATAAAATTGGAGTAATCCTTCTTCACGCAGGCTGGGCGCTCTGTTAGCTGAGTTGGCTGTAGGGTATGAAAAGCAACATCCAATGAAATTAACCACATGCAAGCGCTGTAATCCTGCAGAGATTTTAAAAACGGAGTTGCGGAGAGTAGAGGTGGCTGTGAGCAGAGAGAAGTGTCGCGGGGGGCTAATCGATCACACCTTCCTACTAAATATCTGCCATTAAAGATATTGCAATACCTATAGTTCAGAACATCATCCATGAATCAATTAAACACAATCTGCTTATGACAAAGATGGACATAAAAAAAAGTAGAAGATCTATTTCAACAAAACAATTTACCCTGAAAATTAAGCTGTTCAAAATGAAATGAGTGTTTCATTATTCTTAGAAACCTTACTGACAATATTGAAGCTTAGGGTTATAAATGATGTTCATGAAAAGGTATAGCTCCTCTATTTCCCCTCCTTTATGCTCATTTTTTGAAAACATTTTACCCCTTTTTTTTTTTTAACAAATAAATGTTGGAGCCATCGATGCTAAAAGTATATACAACAATGGTAGGTGAAACATTCTATAAAAGGACACTGACAATGCAACAGTGGATGCCATCACACTGCCCGGCAAGTACCCATATGTTCTTCATCTTCAAGCATAGAGGCTAACTCTCTCTCATGAAGGAACGGTTAGAGTATTGTACTGCCCATGCAGTAAGTGGAAAAGCTGGTAGCAACACAACTTTGTGGCAGTTCGGTAAGGTAAACTAAAGGAAAAAAAGAGAATTTGTTCCAGAATTGTCCACTACAATTAATTAAAGGGGCAAGGTGTAATTTCAAGGACTTTTAATTTATGACTCCAAACTTCAAGATCACCAATCTGTGCCTATGCATTATATTGTGTTTATATTACAAAACTCCCTAGTTTGTCCCATAAAATGCATGTGGTGTGCATAGTGCGCAATCTACAGCCCCCAACGATCTCCTCTCTGGCTGCGCCTGCAAGAAGACAGAAATGTTAATAGGACAACCCACCAGAGCCCCCACATAGTGTGACCATGCACCTGTCAGACTGCAGTAAAGCAGAATGCCGTCCACCATTCCAAGACAGTGTGTTAAGACTCCAGCAGCAAGACTGGAAGAAGTGGGGGAAAAAAAGCTGGCTCAGCTTAGAAGAAAGAAGACAGGCAGCATGGCAAATGGTGAGTGTTAGAACAAACCTGGAAAGGGGAAGCTGGATACTGGAGGGGAGGGCAACAACAGACAATGCATGGCAGGGACAACAGGAACACATGGGTAATGAGACCGCATCATTGGTGCACGCAATGGAAGAGAAGGCAACGGTGTTAACATTGGTGATGTGACACATTGGTGAATAATATCAAAACACACAAGTGAAAAATAAGTAAGCATGCCAACATGTAACAAAGCACTTCACAGGGAATGCTTCAGCAAACAGACATTTTTGTGATACAAATTAATGCACAGCATGCTTTACCTATGCTTTAACTGGAATTTAAAAGTGTGACAGCTAACATATACATGAATATGGACAAACAGCAAAGCTCTTATTTTGGCTAGCAGATAACTTTTTCACAAATTATCTGGGCAGCACAGAGGCGTAGTGGTTAGCACGTCTGCCTTGCAAATCCCATTCAGGTCACTATCTGTATGGAGTTTGCATGCTCTCCCTGTGCTTGTGTGGGTTTCCTCCGGGTACTCCGGTTTCCTCCCACACTCCAAAGACACGCTGGTAGGCTAATTGGTTCCTGTCTAAATTGGCCCTGTGCACATGTACAATAGGGACCTTAGATTATAAGCGCCTTGAGGGCAGGGACTATGAATGTAAAGCGCTGCATACTTTTTTTTTTTATAAATACCTGAAATAAATCAATCAATCACAGCTTAGGATAAAGGTAACACATGATCAGGCAGTGTTAGATCTTTTATACACAAATACAGCAGTTTTTTGAATAGCTACTCTTCAAGATGCTCCCTTGTTACTTCCTGTAATAATCAGTATTATGGTATGTAAACTGATCTTAACATGTCCCACAAAGGTTTCATATCTGCAGTGTTTTTACAGCAAACTAACATGTATCATTAGCCTAAATATTTAGAGGCAGATAAAGTGACTTCCTTTAGAATCACACTAGTGCTTACAAAAACGTTTAGTGGGTATGATAGGCGTTACTGTACATTATATGTCACTGTATAGCCTAACAATCATAAAACATAAATAAAAGAAACAAGTTACAACACAGTACAAATAAAGCACAAAGAGTGGAGCATGAATTGTGCACAAGCTGGGGGATTACACGGTCATGACCTACATTTTTATATCAATCAGGAATGCTAAAACGCATAAAAATGTAAAAAACTCTTTCTTCCTTAAAAGAATGATAATGTAGGACATTTAAATGTTGGTGTGCAGCACTTGTTAAAAGGGAACATGTACTGTAAAACCTTTTAATCAAATCACATACATGAAAAGAAAAGCGCACATAGGAAATAGACATTTTCGGGAGTGTCAATCTTTGTGGTCCCCCCAGCTCTCAATGGTTCTTCCTGTTGACCTCCATGTCACTACTCTCTCCTATATTGACATTGAGGTCAACTGCAGGAACCAGAAGGGGACCACGCAGATCCACACTCCTAGAAGTGGTTTCCCAGTAGACTTTGACAGACCATTTCCCTGAAATGGAGCAGCATGGAGTGGTGCGAGCAGCAGGAAAGGTATGTACACTCTTCTTTACAGCTATGTGTTTCCATAATTAATAACTAGACAATGTCACAATTAGTAACTAAGAAACATTTCTAAACAAGGAACAGTTGTGTATGCGATAAGGGAATATAGAGCTACTATACAGAGTAATTTGCCTATCTAATTTTTATCTTCTCATAGAATTATTTATAGCTCTGTATAAACTTACAGCCCACAAACCATGCCCATGGTATAATCTGCCATGCAGTTGGTGGTATTTGTGTTGTAGCAAACATATAATATTGCAGTTATGTCAGTTTATCTGCAAAAATTGAGCTTAACTGCACTCAAACTAATCATTTTGTTAAACCAGCAGTAGCGTGTTACTCACCCCTAAAGTTGTGTTCTGTCTGTTGTAGCCAGCAAAGTGCAATATGCTCTCAGTAGCCATAGCAAGGCCTGTGTGTTGAGACAGGCCAGACATCCAGTTCTGGTGCTTGTTCAAGTATTCCTGAAAGTCAAATTATAGGAAAATCTGATCTCTCAAACATCAGTCATTCATCATAGCTGCATTAACGAAATACCCCTAACTTTGAACAAAATACATCATGGATATCAATGAAGAAGCAACATGGTGATTTGTGTGTATATAAAACACAAATAGAATGCCTTGCTGTTTGATCTTTGTTAGCTGGTTTAAAAGCTTGTGGTATGTGATAAAATATTAATATATTATTATTATAATTGTTAATCGTTTTTTTTTTTAAATATGTGACAAATCTAAATAAAATACAGCTAAACATAATAATAAAAATATTTATGTGAATTTTAGTTTTAGAGTTGTCACATATTTTATATATTGGATATAAAGATATCAGTGTTTGATATGGATGTTTGTAAGTATTAATTGTTGCTTTGAATTGATGGCGAGAGCCAACAATTAGGCTGTAATTATCAGCATGGATGTCAGCTGCCTGTGGATTAACAAATGGAGCGGTGGGGAGAGAATTTGCATACAAGTAACGTAGCTGAATATACTGATGACACTCTCTGATTAAGTACAAGATGCATGAAAGGCGTAAGGGAAGCTCTCCTGGTGTTTTTCTGAAATGCCTTTTTGAAATAATAATTAGAAAAAGCACACTGACTGGAGTGCCACAATCTTTTTTTCTTTCACAATAGAGGATTGTATTGTTGTCAGCCAATGATCAGTTTGGAGTATACAATATAATGTTCATTGGTTAACTCTGTGATGTTTACCTCTGAAACATTACACAATATGGCTGCATAATACCTGCAGATGGGACTTGGTCACTGATGGTGCCCACTTCATTGCTTCTTGAAGGATCATTCCGCAGCGAGCAGCAAAGTCCTTTACAATGCTCTACAAGTAATCACAAATGTACAATGTATATTCTACAACTGGAAATGCATTAGGAAGAGGCAGTTACAATTTGCAAGAACTTTACCACAGATTTAAAAAAATTGACAAGCACAAAGTTCAGAAATGATTGGAGACCCTGTAGAGCCAGGAGAAGTTCCTACCTCTCTGGCTTCATATGTATCAGGAACAGTTATCCTGTATGGAGCATCTGGAATGTCATAATATGGTTGGTCCTTGTGAATGTCCTGAAAAAAAGTTACAAATATTTGTAAACATAGAGCTACAGTAACATTCATTAACTCATACCAACCATTGGCTTAAAGAGTCAAATTATTATAGTTCTACATCAGAAAATAAAGTTTTTTTTAATGCTAGGAGATGGAATTTGTGGGCAGAAAAAAAAATGTCCTCTCTCACCTAGCAGTTTTGTAAAATGTGTACAATTCCAGCACATTTGCAGTGCAGTGTACATGCTGGCTCACTCGCAGCATCTTACAGATGCCAGGAATGCAGTCAGATAACAGGGACAATGTAACTCATGTGCATGCATGGGAAGCAACCATACAATAGCAATGTTTAACCTGCAAAATGAGGTGGAAAATAATGTAGGCACCAGTGGACACAGCAGTCATTTATCATTGCCAAGGAGCAAACAGGCAGGCAAGTACAATTCTGCATTAAATAAACTGAATTTGTGTACACACCATGAAATCCTTTTTTGTGGAGTCCACCGAGGTTTATAGAATAAAACCATTGGGATTATACTGCTACTTGCTGGAAATTTGGACACTGGCAAACCAAAAAAAACTGTCCAGGGTATAATCCCTCCTACTATCAGCATGCTCCCGTTTTGTAACAAAATTGTACAGAGAGCATGTTCTCCTGTATGAGATGTCTCCCATATAGGACAGTGGGGAATAGGAAGCAGATTTCCGAGTTTCAAATCAAGGACTACAGGGAAGACTTATGATATTAGGAAATTTCTAACGTGTCATTCACATGCCATGTTAGCACCAATACATTGGTAGAACAACAAGGAAACTGCATGTGAGAATTGTGAGGATTTTCTTTTTGTAAAAGGATTTTTTTGTAATAGTTTACACCGCCACTTATATCTATATAAGTAGATTTCCTCATTTATAGAAAGTGTTCTAACAATTGAGGACATCCTGTGTCTGTTCAGGGGCACTACTTCTGACAGAGGAGAAGGATTTAATAGGAGGAATATCCTGGCTGAGTGAGATATAATAGGGCTGCAGAGCGTACTGAGCATGCGCCACTTCCGAGTCTTGTGATAAAATGCGTCTAGTGGGCAGAGTTTGCTGACATCATCATGTAGACCTGTGGATAGGTAGTGGTACGCAAGCTGAACGACAGGGGGGTGGTGTATACTAACGCTAGATCCTTATGTGCTTGTTAGCACATGGACATGTGGGTGTTTTTTTTTGTTTTTACTTTTGAAAAATGGCTAACAGTTTTACACTATAAAAGGTCTTTGTATTTGTTTTTTGGACTTTTTTTGGAGTCATTTGATCCACTGAAGTAGGATCCTTATTTGTGGATAGACTATAATCACAGTATCTGAATAACCACTTGGACATTGATGTATTTAATTTAATGCACAATATTGACGCAGTTGTATGATTTTAAGGAGTATTGATTAATGTTGATTAGCTATATAGTATATAGTGTTTAGTTGTTTTAGCTTTAAAGAACAGTGCATTTGATTTACTAAATTTAGACTATCACTCATCATTTAGCACAGCTGCTTTGGAGAGGGTGCTCAAGCATGGACTTGCAAGAATTACGATGATCATAAACACAAATGGGGTGTCCCTCAATGGACTCCAAGAAAAGTACTTTACGGCAAGTGTAAAAATCTGGTTTTCCTTCTTCTCCATTAAAGTGACATTAAACCCTCAGATTTTTTAACATAAAACAATACTGTAATGTGCGCCTTACTGTAATCCATGGTAGTTTCCCTTCTCTTTGCTGCTCTTCCTTTTAAATCTGTATCTGTTCTCATGCTGGGCAGAACTTCTGTTTTGCAGCAGACTGCCTTGTCTCAGGAATGGATATATGGTGTCTGTGTGTAGGTTTGTAACATGAGCCAGCACTACAGGAAGAGGCCCTGAGCTGCAAAGGGAAGTTCTCCCCAAGCATGAGAAGACATGAGGATTTAAAAGGAAGAGCAGCAAAGAGAAGGGATACTACCATGGATTACAGTAAGGCACACATTACAGTATTGGTTTATGTTAAAAAAATCTGAGGGTTTAATGTCACTTTAAGGCACAACAGCCATGCTTTTAAAGCCGGCAACCCAAATGTAGGATTGTAATTCGGCACTTGAGACAGTTTCAGGGGAGAAAGGGCATAGATCCAGGTGTACTGATCTCATGGAGCCACCAGAGCATCAACTGCTTCCCCCAGTAGATACCCACAACTGGATGCAAACTTGTCCACTTTGATGTTGGACCTGGAGGCTAGGAAATTCACATCAAGTATTCCCCAATTGTCACACAGATTCTGGAACACCTGCAGATGTAACAACCACTCCTCCATGACCAGACGCTGCCAGCTGAGGATTTCTGCCTGCCAATTGTCCATGCCTGGTAAACCTACTGTTGGTTGACCTCTTTAGCTCTATGCCACTGAATGTAAAAGTTTCCGTCTCCTGAATAATGGAATTTGTGTGAACACTGCATTATCTTACCACACAGAACCATACATACCGCACTGAGTGAGAGGGACAAGGTCTGCAATATATCCAGCATAGTTTTCAGCACTTTCCCGCTCCACAGCAAGTGAGGAAATCTACAGAGAAATTGGTAACAAAAGTAAATAATTTAGTACAAAATATACTTGGTACATTTCCAGGTAGAACACACTGCACAGGGAAGGTTAAAACATAGGCAGGCACTTAAATTGTGTGTGCGTGTATTGACTTTTTCAACATATTTGAACAGGCAAATATTAGATGTTCATTCAAACAGTTGCTTCAAATAAACGTTATATACTTCAATAAAAAACACAAGAACATGTGCTTTTTGAATCATGTACTCTACAAAAAATATCAATTGAGATAAAGGTGATATAACTGTGAAAAATAGAAGTACACTTTAGGTCTCAGAAGCTGGTATTGTACACCTAAGCAGAAATTATTTATTGAAAGCCTTTTGCTGCCTACAAGTCTGATTTGACCACTCCTCCTTGTAAAATTCCTTCAGTTTTAAAATGTGTGGGGTTTTCTTGCACGAACTGCCTGTTTCAAATCCCCACAACATTTCAATGGGAAAAAGTCTATTACTGACCATTCCTTTTAAGCAATTCCTTAGTGGATTTGCTAGTATGCTTCAGTTCATTATCATTTTGAAAAGTCCAACTTCTTTTATTTATCAAAAGATCAGCTCTTGGGTTGAATTTGCTAGGTCAGCCAGTCCTGGACAAACAAGCAGTAATTTGAAATCAACACCATGTGAAGATCATTTTCTTTACAGTAGAATGATTGATTTGATTTTTTTCAAATCCATTGTCAGACTCATAGGGATCCAGAACATTCTTTCTGAGGGCCGTAGAAAGCTCTTTTGATCTTGACATGATGACCTCACACATCAACAGAAAAGGGAACACACCACATCTTAGACATCTAAGTGTTAAATAAGACAGGTTACACCCGCATACTCCCTAAGAAGTTTCTAATCATTGCCACCTAAACTGGAACACCCAATTCTAATCCCATGGATTTAAAGTGGTGGTAAATTTAATAAAAATAAAATAAAAAATAGTCACCAGTTTGCGTTTTCACTCATTTACATTATGAGAATGGCTACATTTGTATAATGCACCACTTCGCGCAGAAAATTATTGCAATTACAAATGTTTAGGCATTCTCATGTTTGTATTGATATGACACAAAAAAGTGGAGAAAAAAAGAGCCAAATCTGACACATTCCACACAAAACTCCAGAAATGGACTGAACAAAACTATTGGCACCCTCAATTAATATTTGGTAGCACAGCCCTTAGGAAAAAATTACTGAAATCAATGGCTTCCTGTAACCATCATTGAGTTTCTTACACCTCTTTACAGAAATTTGGGAGCACTCTTCTTTTGCCAACTGCTCCAGGTCTCTCAGATTGGAAGGGTTCCCTTTCCCAACTGCTTTTTTGGGATCTCCCCACAGGTGCTCTATAGGATTCAGATCTGGACTCATGGCTGGCCAGTCCAGTACTCTCCAGCGCTTTGTCTGAAACCATTTCTGGGTGCTTTGGGTCATTGTCCTGCTGTAAGACCCATGACCTCTGACGAAGACCCAACTTTCTGACACTGAGCCCTACATTGCACCCCAGAATTAATTGTTAGTCTTCAGATTTCATAATGCCATGCACACAGTCAAGACATCCAGTGCCTAAAGCAGGAAAGCAACCCCAAAACATCAGTGAACCTCCACCATGTTTGACTGTAGGGACTGGATTTTTTTTTCTTTAAAGGCCTCATTTATTTTTCTGAAAACAGTAGAATGATGGACTTTACCAAAAAGCTGTCATTTTGTTTTGTCTGTCCACAGCACATTCTCCCAAAAGGATTTTGGCTTTTTCAGGTAAGTTTTGGCTTTATTATGTTTCTGGGGGCTCCTCCTGGGTCTCCTACCATAGCGTTCCTTATCATTCAGAAGGTGACGTATAGTGCGAGCTGACACAGTTGTACCCTGTGCCTGAAGGCCAGCTTGAATTTGTCTGGAAGTTGATGGAGGGTCTTTATCCACAATTCCAAAAATCCTTCGTTGCAATCTTTGATCAATTGGAGCATTAAGATCTCTGGAGATGGGCTTGTAACCTTGAGATTGTCCATGCTTTTCCACAAAAACATGGAATGCAATTATTTCTTGCAATTTGGAGAAGGTGCCAATAATTTTGTCCAGGCCATTTTTGGAGTTTTATGTGTAATGTGTCAGGTTTGGCTTTTTTTCTCTACTTTTTTTGTGTCATACCAATACAAACAAAAGAAATAAACATGAGGATGCCTAAACATTTGTAATTGCAACAATTTTCTGCGCAAAGTGGTGCATTGTATCTATCTCAGAGAGCACATGTGACAAATCATTACCCACTGGGGGTTTTCTAGACAGAGAAGCAGAGCACAGCTATAGTAGTTTTCTTTCAAGCAGGTCATCTGACAGCAGACAGAGGGGGAGGATTTACTGCTCTGCCTCATTCACATGTTTGTAAATTTCAGCTTGTGCTACTGATCTCTGTAAACGTTTGCCTTTTTATCATAGGCAGTAAGGAGAAGCTGGAATCTGTAAAACGGAGTCTGCTAACTTGATATAATAATAATAAAAAAAATATTTTCACTTTCATATGTACCTAAATAAAGAAAAAGACTACACATGTGTTACTCACTTGTCTACCAGTCCAGATAAATATTTGTCTGCCACGCGTCTGATGCGCTTATGAATGTGATTGAAATTGACCAACAGGAATTGAGCGTGCCGTTCCAATTCTTCCTCATTCTCTTTTGTTTTAGGCTGTAAAAAAAATGTAAAAAAACACAAACTCTAGCTAATGGTAGATTTGATGCAACAGTGAGGTGTTTTTATACTTTTTATAATTTAAAGAAAATCATCAACTAAACAAAATCCAAATCTAAAAAGAGACCACAAAACAGAATCCCAGTGCAACTTCACAATGCAATTTTCTGTGGAAGAAATAAAAAGTGACTGTTTAGGGCAGGGGTGGGGACGCTAGTGTGACGCTGTAGACTGAAAAGGGTGATCCGCCCTTCCCCGCCTGCAGCGTCAGCCACATTCGGCCCTGCCCACTCCGCCCCTCCCCATGGCGTGTACCTGCATTTTATTCATTAACATAAAGAAAAAAGTCAGTGTGAGCAGTAACCAGTGTAATCTGACCAGGATTCATCTTAGAATGGGCAGACAAATAGAAAGTGATCACTGATTTGTTTCCATATGCCACCTCTGCATTGCACTATATTGTTTTTTTGTAGCCCCCTTTCTGTGCTAATGCCTCAGGTAGTACCTACATCAGTGACGAGTACCAGAGATTGATAATATGCCACAAAGTATAAAGTAAGTATATTGTGATGCTTCCTGACTATTTATAGGGCCTTGGATACCCAGTTTGATGAATTATAAAAGAGAGTAGCAAAGATATACTTCTGGCAGATAGCACAGGTCTCCATTTAATAAGCAGTGCTTTCCTTGTCCAGGCCATTTTTCAATCTGAAGTACTTAATAGTTCTGAATTACTAGTGTCTGTATTGTTTTTGTGTGCTGTTGCTTGGAGCAGTAATAAGTCTATAAATAAATTTCACTTACAATGCGACCTACATTCCATTCTCCCTCTTGCCTGAGATACGCAATTCAGTGTTGTTCTAACTAAGATGATTCCTTATAACTGTGCACAGCCAGTAGCCCGGATGGATTCCAGAACACGTGGCACAATGCCTGCGTTTCGGTCCAGTGCGATCGCAAAAAATAGTGCAAGCAGCATTTTTTGCCATTGCACTGGGCCAGAACGCAGGCAATTCAAGCACCCCTGGTTTAGGGTATACATGTGACTGCAACCATCATATGCAGGGCTCGAAAATCCACTCGTCTGCTCGTCTGTGACGAGCAGACAGTGGAGCCCGACGAGCAGCTTCCAGGCCGGCTGCTGTAATTACACGGCCGGCCGGGAGCTTTACAGTCAAGCGATCGAGCGTCTATATAGACGCTCAATCGCTTGTGTCAGAAGCTGTCACTGCCGTTGCCGGTCCCGAGATCCGCTGTGCCCGATGCGGCCGGGACCGGCACGGCTCTGTGACAGGAGATCAAAGGGAGTTCAGTACACGAACTCCCTTTGATCTCCTCTCAGTCCCCGAATGCAGGAAGTGATGTATATTACATCACTTCCTGCATTCAGTGTCACTCTCCAGCTAGAGAAGCTGATGAAGCCGATCTCTGCCTCATCAGCTTCTCTGGGGGTCCCTAGGTGACTTTAGGGTCTTGGAGACCCCTGATGTCTCCATTAAGAGGACCTGTCATGTAAATTAGCTATCCCATAGGGGGCTTCTTAGCCCCCCATGTAATAGCAATAAAGTTGTGTTAAAAAAAAAATAAATATAAAAATTAAAGAATCATAAAAAAATAAATAAAGAAGCATAAAAAAAAATTAAAAAAGAAAACATTTTTTTAAGTCCCCCGCCCCCCACATACACACGTAGATATGCGTCGGGTGCGCCTACGTGCGAAAACGACGATTGCGCCTATTGTGCTGCACATGTTACATATCGCCGCAAATGTCGGAGTGAGAGCAATAATTCTAGAGCCATCAATCACTGATAACACTAAACTGATGAGCAGTAAAAGCATTTTAATCGTCGCGTATGGGCGTTTTTTGCGATTTTGCGGGCGCACGCAATTTTAAGGCTTGACATGTTTGGTGTCTATTTACACGACGTGACCCCGACTTTTATGTTGTACTAAAAATATGGGTAAGAATAAATGTTTTATAACATAGGGAAACTTTTTCTTTTTCTTTTACATTTATGGTACTTTTTTCATTATAAAGTAAAAACAAATAAACCCCCCGTGGGGTCACAAAACAAAGCTCTATCTGTCCCCAAATTTTTTTAACATATATTGCAAGGCTATAGTCCGGTCATGCTGACTGGTGAAATTTTTGACTGACTGGTGAGACACCGCCAAATTTTTCAAGCCCTGATCATATGCAAGTATTCAATATTGTGTCAATAGTCAAATGTGTGACCTAGTGGACCAGATGATCTATTTGAAGACAAAAACCTCTTTAAGGGTTTATGTTGACAGGATTTTGTTCACTTCAGAACTGCTTTGCTCCTCCATACAAGTCAATTAAAATACAAAAGCATGTAAAATACAAATTTGCATCTGCATTTAATTCTAAATCATCTCAGAATCGCTTAAAATGATGTCAAAAGCACCTTACATTTGTAAAGCTTACTGACACTGCCCATAAAGCATTTTTAGTTTTTGGTGTTTTTTTTTTAACTGTCTAACAGGTCTGGAAGAGTTTCAAAGCACTACTGGTTTAAAAAAAAAAAAGCTGAATTTTTCATCTTTGCCACCAAAAGTGTTTGCTTGTCATCTAAGGAGATGCCACACTTAACAACTCAAAAAAAAAGAAAGCTGTGAGGAAAAGGAAATCAACCTCTTTCTGTCACAGTACCGTCCAACAGTTCAAGTGACACCACTCTCCACATATTTCTAAGTGTTCTCTGCAGTCCTATGCAAGAACAGACTGCAGGGCATATTCTGCAAGGTAATTAATAAAACGTAAAATGTCTGCACAGTATTTTCAGTGATGTCATTCAATTTTTGGAGAGGGTAAACTGCAGCACATTTAAATGCTTCCATAAATGTATTGTTGAAAGAACAAACTCCTAAGGGCACCTAGAAAATATTATTAGGTCTGTTTCTCTTTTTAAACATCGACAAGCTTCCATGGCAGCCAGCCCACTACCAGCTTCCCTGACCCATAGTGAAACGTGGAACGTGGGCCAGAGCAAGCTTCCATGGGAGCTGGATGCAGTTTGCAGACAGAAGGACTTCCTTATTCAGGGTTACCAGAGGGCTGGACACAGAAATAAAAATACATTACAAGGCAAGTATCATTATATATTATTTTCTCCACAGGATCAGTTTAAAGCCCATTTCCACCTTTGCAGAAGTATTTTTTTTAAAAACATATGCCGGCAATGTACACGGAGTATACATGAAGGAGCACTATGCAGTTGCTGTATATGAGCACATAAACTAACTATGTTTTGTGCTCCTCATGTCCTCCTTCAGCTCCTTTTGAAATGGCCGCCTCTGTGCTTTGCAAGCAATCTGTGTATTTAAACACTCTCTGTGTATGGGGGAGAGTGTATTTAAACACTCTCCCCCCTTCATTTGTATTAATAGAGGAAACCCCCCCCCCCCAGACAGTGTGTTGTGACCTGGAAAGGCAGAGCTGGTGTGCAGTGATCTTGTTACAATGACTCACAGGGAGGGGGATCAGCTGCTTTACAACATGACCCCAGTGTCAGACTGAGTTTACCGTGGACAAAATTTTACATTTTTAGGACTCAGGCCTACTAAAAAGTCCATAAAAAGGAAGCTAACCATCAATGTGATTCATGAAACTGTACACACATATACATCACTGCACCTCTACATTATCACAATAAATGCTAATTACTTACAAAAGGTGAAAATGGGCTTCAAACTTGATTCTGAGATCTCAGTGCCTCCAGTGGTCCTTCGTGAACATTTTATTTGCACACTTTTAGCATATTTGTATATTGGTGGTACGACATAAACCTAACAGGCACACAAGGCTATAGTTGAACTTTTACCTTATCAGCCATCACTGCTAGAAAGGCATCAAATACTTTATCAGCTACAGCAATAATGCACTGCATCATCCCTGCAAAACAAAGAAAAGGTAGTTGAACTTGGTAATCTTTTAAATGAAACAGAATAATCCGCGTATTTTGCACTCCATAAGGCGCACCTGACCATAGGACGCAGGGAGGGTAGGGTTCTGTGACAGCTGAGACAGGTGGCACTGTGATTAGAGCACCACGGTCTCAGTGGTCACACAGAGCAGACGACCGTTCTTCGTCTGCTCTACGGGCTCTATGGTGAGCTCAGAAAAGGGGGGCCCCAAAAACCACGGCAGGGGGTGCCCTGGACACGATAGCTACCGCTCGATTTGATACAAGTGATCTGATTAGATCACTTGTATTAAACGGCTCCCACTGCACATTTAGCTCTGCTTGTCCGGAGCAGGGCTAAATGTACAAAATAACGACTCGCCTGGCGCCCGAAACTGCATGTCCTGGGCGTCAGGTGATAGGGATTCGCTCCATAAGACGCACAGACATTTTTGCCCGCCTTTTGGGGGGGGGGGGGGGGAAAGTGCGTCTTATGGAGTGAAAAATACTGTATTTTACAGATAAGAGTGATGCATGATTTTGTAAAAGAGTAAAATGTAATATAAACAAGTTAATATATCGAATTGTCATAATGTTTATCTGAAAGCCATTTATATTTTATAATTTAATATACAGCTTTGAAGAATCTCCCTCTAGTGGCAATTATTGTGCCCCACACCCTAATCATCACCTAAAATGTACAATTTAAACTAGTCTTTAATAAATATGGATACCACTTATGTATTATAAAATTATATATATATTTTTATATATAAGCCTAACCCAGAATTAC